GTGTGTGTGCCTTCAAGTCAGCATTGTGTGTGTGTGTGCCTTCAAGTCAGCATTGTGTGTGTGTGTGCCTTCAAGTCAAAGTCTAGTCCTGGTGACCACCTGGACTAGACCCTGCAGTTTCCTTGGCATGATTTTCAGAAGTGGTTTGCCCTTGCCTTCTTCTTCCTAGGGTTGAGAGAGAATGACTGGCCCAAGGTCACCCAGCTGGCTTTGTGCCTAAGGTGGGACTAGAACTCACAATATCCTGGTTTCTAGTCTGGTGCTTTAACCACTGCACCAAACTGGCTCTCCGTAATAATGATAATGGAGACTTATTAACTGGGGGCACTATCTTTAAAATTAAAATGTTTTGAACTGATTAATGTACCCATTTGTCAACCAAACACAGCATTTCTAATATATCTGGCACTCATGCTATGCCTGAATACAACCTCCATCCATCTGTGAGTCTCTGTACCAACTTTTGCACAAAGCAGACAGGTAGACCAACTTTTAGCCTTGTTGTGAAGCAATAATATATACCTGTAATTGTTATTTATTTTTTAATTTAATCAAAATTTTCTTTTGTTCTACCCACTCTGGATAGTATATTCTGAAAAAAAGCTGTGTCCCCTACCCCTTGCCCCCAATTGTGTTATAAATTCCTTCTGTTTCTGCAGGGGAAAAAAATGGTTCTTTCTGAAAGGAAAAGGGACAAAGCAGAAAAGCATTAAAAAATGGCCACTGGAACTTGAATAAATGTGAGCTATGAGTTATTGCCAGATAAGGGGATTTATGAAACTGAATGCAAATGAGGTTCAATTTAATATATACAAGTCCATCTGTCACCAGTTTTGCATCTCTGACTTTAGGTGAGAGTAATATTATTCAGGTCTTTCCCAAATGTTTCTTCTGCTTAAAACACACAAGGCAGCTGTTGGAGAGCATAAATTATTTGTACCACCTGCAGCTTTTTTTTTTTTTTAAAGCTACCCTTCTCTGCTGTTAATACATTCAGCATAATGCTGGAAAAAAGCATTCAGAAAGAAATTCAGGATTTCCATAAAAGTACCTTTTCGACCATCGGTAGCATAGCCTTCCTTGCCCACAACAATTCAAACCAGGAATTCGATGTCCTCCAGATCTTTTCATAATCATGCCTTCTCTGAAAGCAAAGAAAAGAGAAGGGGTGCAATGATTTAGCAAGTTCTTGAGAGAAGAAAAACCTATTCAGGAGTTTTGTCTGCTTGATACCACTGAGAGGATGTTAAATCTTGCAGCTTTTTCAACCACTTTCAGCCATGAAGAAAGGGAACCCCAGTGCATCTCCTTTTTCATATCAGGAACCATTCCCACAATTTGCCTCCAATATTTATTTGCAACACTTATTTATACTGTTTATTTGTCAAGCTGTCAATAAATCCAATATTAAAACATCATTAAAACCAATCAAATTTGATAGAGTGAAAATTGAAGTAAAATTAACATAAAATTCACTGCCCCCTTCTGAATGAGTCTTCAAGCCCCAAAAGCTTGCCTGAACCTCTTCATTGCTATCCTGAACATGCCAAACATGGGATTCATATGGATTTAGTCCCAAAAGGTTAGGGCTGCCACTGAGAAGATGGGCTTCTGGACTTCTCTTCCTCTAAACTCACAAGGCAGGGGTACCCACAATATCCCGTCCCTGGCTGAACAAATAGGATGGGCAGAGTCTACCTGGAAGAGATGGTTCCACAGATAACCTGGGTCTTAGCCCTAGGACTTTATGTGTTAATACCAATACCTTGAATTGAGAGATGGTTCCACAGATAACCTGGGTCTTAGCCCTAGGACTTTATGTGTTAATACCAATACCTTGAATTGGATGCATTTACACAAGTCCAATTTATGGTTGGCTGACAATGAATGCACCAGATCATGCTGTAGCCTAGTTCTACTTCTCAGTGAACTTCTTAAATGGGTGGCTTGTTTAAAGTTTTCACCTGCTGCCAACCACAGAAATAAACTTAAAACTAAGCATGGGTTCTTTAAGATTTGTTTCTCGGATTACCAGCCAGAGGCAAATAACATAATAAATATGAAATAAGCCAGCAGGAACTTTTGGAGAACCACGTGGGTAGATGAGCTAATACAATCAAGCCCATTCATGACTGACTATAAAGCTGTGCTTGTCTTAGATTTAGAGAACCATAGTGCTAGAAGCAGATGTTCAGGTCATCAAATCCAATCCCCTGTCCAGGACAGAAATCCAATGTTCCTTGACAGAAAGCTGTCCTGCCTCTGCTTGGATATATCCAGCAAAGGAGAGGTCACCAACTTTCTGGGTAATGTTGAACTGCTCTTAGCATTAGGAATTCTTTTTTTAAAGAATATCCAGTTAGAATCTGCCTTCATCTCCCTGGAGTTCATCTTGACTTGTGGTGATTCCATGGACACATTCATGTTGTTTTCTTAATAAGGTTATGCAAATGGCTTGGCATTGCCTTCTGAGATGATTTCTCCATTTCCTGGTCTACCATACTGCCCTGGTACTAGCCTGGTGCAATCCAGGTGCTAACCAGATCCTCTTTAGTTTTTGAGGCAAAACAAGGTCACCCTGTAGTTTAAATCCATCAGTCCTTGCCCTAGCACAAGTTTTGGCTTTCTTTTGCAATGCCCATTCAGGTTCTTAGAAAGTCTTCTCATGTTTTCCATAATTGCCTTTCCTAAAGACTAAGATATACATTTCCCCCAGTTTTGGGTCACTCAGATGTGCATTTAGAACATATTTGATTGACTGCTGTATACATCCCATTTTGTGGGACATAGTGGCTGTGTTCACATGGCATGCTTTAATCAAGATATTTAAAGACAGTGGCTGTCTTCATCCAACATGCTAAGCTTGGTTAGTGTTAACTGTGGCACATTATTTGTGTGTTAAGTGTGTTACAAAACAGCCATTTGGTTAATGTATGGGTTAATGTATTGAATGGACATAGAAGACAGGTTAATTCAATAACCAGGTTAAGCATATTCTATGAATGCAGACTTTCTGTTTGTTAATATACACAGTTTCCTAGGGTAGCCTTCCCCGATTTTCCAAACTTGTTATCTCTCAGATGTGCTAGAACTAGAAATTCATTAGCTTTGCTACACCTGATAAATTCCCAACACTGGTAGACATGAAGGTGGGAAAGGCTGTCCAAGATTAAGTAGGCTTAACTGACTTCTCAGGGCCTGGAAAAGTAGATGGCAATTTGCAGAATAAAGGGCTGGAGCATCTGGACAATCCTCTTTTTTCAGCAAATAGCAACCCCCCCCCTTGCTTTAAGAGGTGGTCAGCAAGAGAATCCCAGCCCTAATAAACTTATTGATAAATGTAGAGCTAATGCACACACACCTAGTTTCCAAGATTCTCAACTAACCTTTTTTTCTTTTCAATAAATTTGATTAATCTAGCTTTCTTGATGATAAGAGGCTTCTAGGGGCTTGAAAAAGTGAATTTAGGTTGTAACCCTATGGACACTTATGCTGAATTAAATTGACTTGCCTTTAGATCTGGATACCTTTTCTAACTTCCTTAAATCTCAGCATTTCTAATTTATACAGTCAGCACAGATATACTTCAGAGCAGTACGTATAAATGGCCAAACCCAATAAATAGCCAGAAAATTAAATACATTTGCAAAAGGGAAGCTAAATGGTTTATAGGGCTTGAAACCATAAATGAACAGAGAGCAAGGTTCACTCAACTGAATGCTACTCAGTGAGTAAACCTATTTACTCTTTAGAGCTGCACAAGTATCTCACCAGCCAGGATATGCTTGAAATATAAACCTCTTGGTGTTAGAATGAAGTCCTGTCTTTTGAGATGTGATACATTTCTTCCTAAACCAAGTATAAGGGCTGAATCTGGCAAGGCAGCAACCAGCAGTTCCCAGGCCAGAAAAGACTGTCATGTAAATATGTCTCAGCTGTCCCAGGGTACAAAGCAAACTGCCAAGTATCTGTTAATTCAGAAATGCAGAAGGAAAAAGCCTAGAGTTTAAACTTTGGAATACAGATCTACATAAGTGCTTTTTTTCACTGTAAAATATATCATCTGTGTATATGGCTTCATTCTTGTCTGCAATAAAAAGAATACTGGCCAAGTTATTTTAGTGTCTTCTGCCAAGCAAGCCAATTCCTGAATAAGGGCTGAAATGTCTGGAGGGCTGATTTATATCTGAGCCCTGGTGTGAAGCCTGACATCATGGGCCACTTAGGTCCAATGTGTGGAAGAGGCTCTTGGCTTTACTTTACCTTGTCTCACTCTACCATGGCTGACTGCAGCCTTTCCTTGTCCTCCTTAGGCTGCTGTCATTTCATCTGATCCTACAGCTGTCCTTTCAGCAATGTTGTAGTTTGCAGGAATTAGAAGGGGAAACCTTTCACAATATGTTGTTATTTACTAACTCAAGTTGTTGTTTCAGAAATAGAAGTAGGAGGTGGCTGAAAAGTTCACAGCTTCTCATCCTGCAAACTTCTTTCCGCATAAAGCCTCCCTTGAGTTGAGCTCAGCTTCTGGTGATTACATGGACACCCCCATGCTGTTTTCTTGCAACAGTATGGATGTAGTTTATTGCTACCCTACAGCTCTAGGATTTCCCAGTGTTCTCCTATCCCTGTACTAACCACAGGCAACCTTGCTTAGCTTTTTCAAGATTATTCACCTTGCTGTATCTTTCTATATGCAACCCTCCAAAACCAGAGTATTCAACCAACACTCCCCACCAAAGGATTAGAAAAAGCAGAAATATGCATCAAATGTGCATGTGCTAAGTTATATGTACAGCTTCAATGCCCCTGTTCTCCATTCTTAATATACTTTATCTGTCATTTAGAATTGGAGTGACAACCCTTCAAATAAAGATAGAGAACTTGAATGAAAAGTACAGAACACAATTGCTCTACCTTCCAGAGCAAGACACTAGGCAAAGTTTAATTGTGGAATAGTTATATGTTCTAGTTAAACCTTCTGTAAACTCTGAGCTGCAAACAGAAATGTTTTCAATAAATATACCATTCACAGAGGCCCTAGGACTCAAATGGGGTCAACTTACATGCCCTTAGGTCCTAGGTCATGGATAAATGACAGCTGACTTACACCAAGGAATTCCATCTGAAAAATAAATACAAAGGGAAGGGGAACAGTTTCTATTAGTTAAATACAAAAATCAAGATATAGTCTACATATTGCTTTACTCCAATGTTATTGGGATGCTAAATCCAATCCCACTGAAAAAAAGTTTTTTTCCCCTGTGACATGGGATCACATATAAAGGTAGCACCAAATTGTGTGTGAAATGGGGAGGAGTCTACAACATTTAATTTTGCCATAATTCCTGGTTCCAGGCCCATCTCCCAATACCCAAGAGCAAAAGTTTTTGCAAATGTCCATGTCAGGCATTATCTTCTAAGACAGAGCTTGTTGTGGGGCAGGGGGGATGGAGAAAGTGGCCATAAGCTAAGTCAGTTTCATCTAGACCCATTTTGTTTTTTTCTGTGGCATTCACACGAAACCCAGAACCACAAACTAGCTAACTGCATTTAGTATGTTGAGTGAACCCAACCCAGCCTCTCCAATCTTTCATACTCTGATTATTTCTGCCAGAGAGGAACTGAACCTAGAATCTTCTGCAAGCAAAGGATCAGTGTGTTTTAATGGTTAAGGTATAGGCCCAAGACTGAGGAAACCCATGTTCAAGATCATGCTCAGCCATTATACCTCATTGGGACACTGGATGGTCACCATCTCTCAGTCTAACCTTCCTCCACAAAGTTGTTGTTGTGATGGTCTGAAAACTGCAGAGAAGCATGCTATGTTTTGAATTCTTACTCAGAATAAGAATGAGGCAATGCTAATAGAAGAGAATATCTGTAGCTCAAAGTTGAACTGTGGAGTTCTTGGTGCTTTCTGAGCTTGGATGTTTAACTATGATTCCTGCTCATTGGGTACCTTGATTGCCCATGGATGCGTCTAGCACTATAGTTTTGGAATGTTTGCATTTGTCAAAAGCTGGACAACTTTTGTTGTTGAGATCTGCAGGAAGTATCTGTTGGGGACAACATACATACAGACTTTGCCATCTCTATATGCACATTATTGCTGGAATCACAGACTATATTTGAGCCAAACTCTGGATTCACATATTTTGGTAAGCAATGAAATGATTTATTTGGTTTTTGGTTACTGTGATGAACTTAAGCCATCACAGTAACCCAAGCCAGGGTATACGGCTTTAGTGTTACATATGTAGAAAGCCACTATGGCTTCTTCAACAAACCGTACCTATGTTTACACATTGTGCTAGCCATGTTTTGGCTTTATAGTTATTTGCTGAATAAGGCATACTGGCTAAGATCACATATTGTACTTTCATACATGGTTTAGGGCCAAAACTAAACAAAGCATATTGGCCATGTTAGCGGAACATTCTTAAATACGGTTAACTCTGGGTATGATAACGTACTGAAACATTAACCACCTAGGCCTAGATTTGCACAACATATTAAGTGAAAAGATTTGTGCTGTGCAAATGTAGCCATTAAGACAATGTATGAACTCTGCCCATCATTAAAAAAAAAAAAGAATTAAACCATTATCTGAACTCAGTGAATGTGTGTATGCAGCAGTTCTGTCATCTTCTCGTGTCTGTGGAGTAATCAAAAGAAAAAGTAGAATGCCTTGAGCTTAAAAGCTGTGAAGTTCCATGAAGGACAGCAAAGTAACATCTTCCACATCTACATCTCTCTAAGCTGTCCCAAGGAAAGCTCAAGATCTCATTCAGCTTTCCAGTGAATCTTGTTATTAGGTAAGGCCTGTGAGGATTTCAGTGTCAACATCCATTGTTCCATCAAGAGAAACATCTAGGGAAAATCCCTCTAAGAGAAGGGAGAGAATTAAATGTGAATAGTGAAGTGAGAGCTATTTGGTGGAGATGAATTCCAAAGGATCTTTTGTGCTGCCCTTGGGACACAAAATTCAGATTATTTTAAGCCAGAAACAAAGGCAGTTATGATATGACCACACTCTGGCTTAACATTATACTGAGGATCAGGCTAATACACAATATATGAACAGAGGAACATTTCTGATCTGAAGGCCACATTTTACCTTTGTGCCCTGCCCTAAGGCACCCACTTTGGCCTTAATCCTCTGCTAATAGAGTGGATTGCCCTTTGAGGAGAGGGAAGGGCTTAAGGCACTCATTTCAGGCCTTAATATCTCTCCCCCCCATGCAAATAACAGAACTAAATAAACAAAACTGGGTCCACATTTTTAATCCCACTCACTCACATGGGCTATAGGAGCCCCAAGTGAAGTATCATATGTAAGCCACAGATTGTCCATATTCTCTTTCTACAATTTTTATTATGTGGCTTTACTGAGATGTAGTAGAATTTTAAAAAATGCAGCAATTACAAAAATACCATCCGCGGTAAACAGTTCACAACTACCAAACCAATAAGAAGTTATTGGTTTCAAATAAGAATTAGTGACCTTGCTGTATAATGAACAAATGGATGCAGAATCAGCTGATTATCAATCAAGACCCTAAGGCTGCAGGCAAAGGAAAATGGGACAATTCAGGAGCCGCAGAGACAAAAAAGGATGATGAAGCCAAAACACCATAACCTCTATCTTGCTCACATTCAACCTGAGGTGATGAAAAAGACATCCAAGAGAAATCCTTGCAAACACACTTCATCATGGTTGACTATCCATCATCTCTGAGAACTACAAAAGACCAACAGACCCACAGGTTGTAAATCATGGCATCCAAGCGAAGGGTATAAAGGGTAAGTAGAATAGAAACCAGGATGAGCCCTGGACTGTAATCCAGCATGCAACACTGCAACAGAACAGGAAGGCAGAAAAGCCACAAACCTATCAAGTGCACAGCCAATAATGCTTAAAGACCATAACCTACATAGTATCTGGTGGTGTGATGGAATGGAATTATGAAGGCCAAGCTCAGGGAGATAAACATTTTCTTAGCTCACCAGAAACGCGTGGAAGGAACAAGAGGATTAGTATCTGGTGGTGTGATGGAATGGAATTATGAAGGCCAAGCTCAGGGAGCTAAACATTCTGGTTGATGGCAGGCCAAGCCCAAGGGACTCCAAGAGACAATGCCAATTCAGTCCAGCTATGTTTATTAGCTACACCCTCTAGCGAGAATCTTCCCAGACTAAACCCCCAATTCCCAAAGTCCCCCAGCCCCAACAGTGTGAATTCCTCAGGGAGGTGCCAGTCTATTGTCTCTTGGAGTTCCTTGGGCTAGGCCTGACATCAATCAAAATGTTTATCTCCCTGAGCTTGGCCTTCATAATTCCATTCCATCACAGGTGGTCAAGTGTATTCCCTAATGTAGGAAGTAACTTTACTCTTCAGGATGTGGAGAACAAGGAAATATTACTGCTGGGACATGTGTGTAGGGACACATATGTCTTCCTTTCTGTATATGGACACTGTCCTCTTGAATCCAAAGCTCTGCCCCTGAGATAATCCTTCCATGGGCTTGAATTACCCCCTGCTAACAGAAGTTATTTGGTGAAGAAACAGTAAAATTCCACAGAGGAAGTCACCTGCCTTGGAGAACACTGCCCGAGAGAGGTGAAAACATGTCAGGAGTGAAGTTTTACATAGCAGCAGTATGTATTTAAATCCTCCCAATGACTCAACATTCTGAGTGCCAAATTGGCATAATGCTGCATTTATGAACAGAAGGCAATTATGTTATTATACATGTACACTAGTCCAAGCCTACACAAGCAGCTGACAAATTATAATCAACTTTTGAAAAACATAAAGAGGAGCTCTGCTGGGTTAGATCAAGGGTTTATTTAGTTCAGCACTCTGTTTCAAGTAAATGCAAACTAGACAGTTCTAGGAATGATGAAGGTGAGAAACAGTCCTCTCTCGTTGTTACATCCCAACAGCTAGAGATAGAGATACACATTCTCTATACATGGAAGTTCAAGTGATCAAATGTTGCTGACGGCCTTATTCTCTGTGGATTTGTCTAATAGGGTCTTCACCATTTCTAGCAGTAATGTCTTTTATGCAATGTTAGTTCCATAAAACAGATAGACTGAAAGAAAAGTTTGTGACTCAGCTGTATCATATTAAACTCTTGTCATTTCAGATCCCCACATTTGCACATGATTGGTGAAGGAAAGATAGTTATGCTTTTGGTTATAACATAGGAAAGAATAGCAATCTCTCCACTAGTACAGGTAGTTCTTGTTTAACAACCACAATTGGGACTGGCAGCTCGGTTGTTAAGTGAAACCACAGCTGTGTTTACGATCTTACTTCAGCTTTCCTTTGCTTTACAGACCTGTGAAGGTCATAAATGCAAGGACTGATTGTAAAGTTACTTTTTCATCACTGATGTAACTGCAAATGGTTGCTAAACAAGGCAGTCGCTAAACACGGACTACCTGTAGTGCCTTCTAAGTTCTCACAACTTACTGAATCCTAAACTTTGGTAAACGTATACAGTATGCTCCCTCCCACCCCATGACTTAATTTGATACTTTTGGGGATCATACCACATGCTAAGTCAATGACTGAGAGCCCACCCCTCCAAATTGCAAACTAACCGAATCCCATTTTAGTCTAGCTTGCTCTACTGTGCAAAGTACACCATAAAAGCAGAATAAATGTGAGGAATTTCAGTCTTTGAATCAAGTGATATAACCTCCTTTATAAAAGAGCAGTGAAAACAGAGATCAAGAAGATAACCATATTACAGGCAGTAAGAAAATGGGAGCTAATTTCTCAAATAGTTGTACTTCACAACACAAGACACAGCCAGTGTTGCCTGGCTATCACAAAGAACATTAGGTATGAAGTTCATATTGGCTGGATTAACACTGTTCTTTGACCATGATTTGCTCAAAATGTGTAACTAGCTAGGTTTATGTTATTCTAGACATAAGCTATCGTTTACAAAATCAAAATGGCTTCATTCACCTAACATATGATGATTTAGTGTACTCTGTAATCCTAGCAAATAGTATAACTGTGCATTGTACACAGAATGCTTATACATAGCAGTTATATAGGTTGTTAAATTAGCTACCTTCATACTATTGGCTTAAGGGTCAGTTTCTTTTAACTACTGATGTTCAATGGCTGAGTTCACACATTGCATTAAACCATTACTGAGTTATCTGGTTTCACCTTGCATGTTGTAAGAACCCAACGATTATGGTTTGGATAATCCGGTTTATTTTAGATGAACCCAACCCATTGTGGCTTAGTCCAACAAAACACGATTAATAAAAGGTGTGGTACAATGTGTGAAGCCAGTTAGCAAAACCGAGGCTTGGTTGTCAAGGGCGAGTTTCCTTCTCAAATAGTAGAAAGCTTGAAACAGATGCTTGAAGAGGTAAGGAAACAATATCAGCCAAGTTTTGCTCAGAGCAGATATATTTGCACTGTTATTAAAAAAAGAGAAAGAGGTTTGTACAGGACAGGATCCATAATTGACCATTCTTCCAGCATTTTCTACAGCTGGACAAGGCATTCTACGATGAAAGTCTGCCACTGGTGTCTGTAAGCTTTAGTCAATTTAATCATTTAAAGCTTTCTCATTTGACCCCAAAGTATTTCTGATGTGGCAGCCCAAACACTTTTCAAAGCCAAGCTGTCAATTAAAACTCACACCACTAACTTGATCTTTCTTTACCAAGCAATCATATAACCACAGAACAACATTAACCAACTGAGCAGATAAAAGTAAACACCATCTGAAGGTTACTTACTGTTCCGTGGTAATTCTTGTACAGGGGCATTTTTAAGAGATTTGTGAGATAATCTTCCAGTTGTTTCTGCAAAATAAACGCAAAGAGTTGTGATCAAGGGTCAGAACTGGCTACAACAATGGGATCTCTTTGGAGGGAATGACAAAATTGAAATGTTGCATGGGTGATGGAAAGTGGTCAGGGTGAGGAGGGAGGCAGAGGAAATAGGATATGGAAGAAGATTAAGCAGGAGAGTGGTTTATGAAGATAATAATAATGAAAAGATGGGATAATTAACCAAAGGGAAATTGATTTTACTTGCAGGGAATCTAAAAAATGCCTAATGATAAATTGGAATCTGAAGTATCCAGAGATTTACATGAAAGGAAGACTATTTTTTTCCTCAAGTAATTAACTTTTAAGACAGGAGGAGGATTTTAGATTTGCTGAGAATAGGGTAAAATAGATAAGTTTTATTCTTTTTTTTTTTCTTGGCCTAGAATTGCTCTCAGGGAGGGGATTGTGTTAAATTCAAACTAAGCGGGGGGGGGGGGGGGGGG